TGGCAGTGGCAGTGGCAGTGCCACCAATGGGGGAGCAAGTGTGGAAAAGCAATCAAAATACGAACCAGAGACAAAGGAGAAGATAAATAGAGGCAGACAAGCAAAATATTGCCTTTTGTGGCAAAGCAACAAGGCGAACGGTAGGCGGACCGTTGACTGTGCCACAAAGCAAGCGGGGGGGGGGCGAGGGGCTGAGAGAGTGTGCGGCACAGGCAGGCGGCGTGTGGAGCAGGTGTTTTTGGTTTTGGGCGGATTTTGCCTTCTTCTTTTTATGGATGCAACAATAAATTAAATCAAAACGACTAAATTTGACCTTGAACATGTGCTACAAGGGGCACGGGGCATGGGGGCACGGGGGCATGGGGCAGAATGATCACATCAAGGATGCACATGGAAGGGCAAGCAATTTTATGGCCCTGCCACATGCTGCATGCCCCCGTACACACACACACACACACACAGTCCATTGGCGGTCAGTGGCAGGGCCATGAACCCTGCAGCTGTATATGTGTCTCCCGCACACTCCCCCTTCCCTCCCCATTTCGCTCCGTCTCGTTCGCTGTGGATGTCCTGGACCTTTGGGGCAATTTCCTTGCCACATTCGTGTGCATCATGCAACTGTTTCTGCAGCTGTATATGTGAGCAAATAAGCATAACGAGCAGCCGTATCCTTGGGGATACTCCGTACATATATGCTGATGGGGCTGCTCCATGCCAAATGCCTCACGCTCCCCCCTCTCTGGCACATTACGCATACGCCGTGTGACTCACCAAGGAAAACTCTTTTGTTGCACCGCCAAATTGATATATTATGCATGGGGCAGCATTAAAAAATATGAAAGGAAAGTGGAAAGTGGAAACGGAAACCGAAACCGAAACTGAAACGATATACATATACCCCTTTGAAAGATACGAACAAATACAGGACCAAAGATACGAGTACGCGTATGACCAATTTCCGAACAGAGGAAACAGCACAAAGGAAATAAAATTACACTTGAAATATGTATAGCCTGGAGGCATGGTCGAGGAGACATTGGGAAATGCGTGTATGTTCTTGGAATCCTAAGCAAATGCGGCAGGATCCTCCGATTAATGGAATCAACATTAGATAGAAAACTTTTTTAAATACAAAAATCGTATGAAAGTATTTTAAGGAGATCTTCAGATTCTTTATCTTAAGCTTTAAATGGCAGTTCTTATGAATATTTCTAGAATAAACAAATTCCAGCTGTTCGAATACTTTAGGAATATTTTTAGTCGAAAAGTAGCAACCAATAGAATCTATCTATCTTAGATCTTAGTTCTATATCTGCTTCCATACTCCTCCTCGTTGTATGTTTTATATTCGAACTCTACTTTAAAGACAGCCACCTCAGCTTCCATCTAATATCCATTTATCTCTGTTAGGTCCTTGCTGCTTCATGCGGTAGTGGTCCAACGAATAAAGTAGGGAGAGAGAAAAGGCAACATAACAACAAGGATTCCTTCCAGTGGATGCCGGAGAATGCAGATCCTGTAAACTAGAATGAAGAGAGGGCCATTGTACACACGGAGGTCACAAACGACCTGGCTGTCCTTCCTCTCCCTTTTGGCTCTGACTTTTGTTTTGGCAAACGGCATGAAACGAGCTTCCCTTTTGCCATCCCTCTCTCTATCCCTCTCTCTCTCCCTCTCTGGTTGTCTCTCTGTGTTGCCGGTTGGGGGCAGCATCATTAACATTATGTAAGCAGGAGCAACGGCAACAACCGGCGACACTGACGGCAGCAGCAACAGACGTTAAAGGCTCTCCATTCTCCTTTCTCCTTTCGCCTTTCGCCCTTTGCCTCACCTGCCACACTCTCTTTCACTCTCCGCTCTGCCTCTCTGCCGCTCCGGGCATGGGGCAGGTATGCCCGAAGTTGTAATTTATGCTCTGACAAAATGGCGCACAAAAAAACCTCGAGCAAATGGGTGGCACAAGGGAGGTGAAAGCCTCTCACGTAATGCCCCAACTATGGGGGTTAGAAAAGGGTGGCCGCATAGTTGGCCTATGTGTTGCACTTGACGGGGCAGCCACTTCTACATACATACATATACATATATGTGTTTATGTTGTGGCTTATGTTTATCTGGCTTATATACAGCAGGCGTTTGGCCCTTGCGGTGGCATCAACTAAAGCTTCAACAAAATCTTTCATTTGAAGTTCAGCTGGAATTTAAAAGTGCTAATGCGGGATGATCAGAGATGGTAGTAGTATCATCAGACCAGCGCAGAGACCGATTCCCTTAAGACTTTCTTCCACATTCAGAGAGTATTCCATTTGTATATACTCTTAAATGTGGCTTACAGACTTACAGGCCATAAAACGAGGCAAAACCCTGCAGAAATGTTTATCTTCTTGCCACCACAATTCCAAAAACCTGAACAATGCCAAAGATATCTGTGTATCTGTACGTGTATGTATCTGGATGGGCTTGGATGCCCGTGTGGCTAGGTGAAAAACTTTTGAGCAAACTGCATAAACGAAACTTCTTATAAAGTCTATAAAACGTAATGACTCGCGCTACATGCGCGCATCTCCCGACAAAGTATGCAACAAAAAGTTCCAGTGACTTTGACAGCGCGACAAGGGAGACCGACAGCAGACTGGCACGGCACTGAGCGTATTACTATACGGAAATTCCTGCAGGTAACAAAAACTCAACTCCCCCAGCGGTGGGGCTTTGATTAAAGGCAAGACTTTTGCAGGAGTTCAGAAGGCTAAGCATTGAATTCCGTGTGGAGTTCAAGGTTTGCCAAGTGAATCCCTTACGCGCCTATACCTGGACAGGGATTAAAGCCTAACAATGATTTGGGTCCATAAACAAATAAATCTCCATATAGGATATGGTATTCTAGTCTTAACCTACCCCTTCATTAGTGAATCAGTCAGACAAACACTAAACTGTAAATAGCTTAAAGATGGATAGATTTGTGTCCTTCTTCATTTGGCATTTGATTTGATTTGATTTGATTCCGTGACGTCAAGTCAGGCAAATAGTTGTGTGACTGCACTTGAAATCCCATCCGAAGGCGGAAAAGAGTTTGAAGGATTTTGTGTGCCGCAAAATGTCAAATCACCAAACACCAATACCAGAGCAAATCAAATTTGCATGCAACATCGCGCGTCCAAGTGTTTGAGTATTCGGGCGGGTGGGGGCATGGGAATTGAAATCCGTTTGCAAAATGCCAGCTATTTATATTTGTCCATTGGTGTGGTATGCTTTCCTCTACGTGTACATGTACGTGAGGGATTGTGCCTGTGTGTGTGTGAGACATGTCTGCACTTGTCACACTGATTCTGCCGATTAGAAATTAATCGAATTTTACTGTCGAATCGAAAGCAGTCCGACGGCAACAGCGACGGCGACGGCGACAGCGACAGCGACGGTGGGTTTTCGCGTCAGGAAGTACCCGAGACGTTGGGCGGGCGCCCATGCTGTTTCCATGGTAATGCAAAAAACAAGCAGGCAGGCACATGCCAAACACACACACACACCGATACACTCTCCGTTCAGTCACACAGATACACACAAATACAATCAAAACACCCATCCACACACGCAAGACCGTCTCAGACACTGACACTGAATGTTACGCAGTCGGCAGGCGGTCTTTCAAGCAAAATACCAAAGCATTTTGCCTAATGGCTGATAAGCTAAGCTCCATTCATTTATATAAGAAAACGGAAATGGAGGGAACGCCGAAGCCCCCCTTCCAATTTGATTCTTATTTAAATTTAATTTGATTTGTAACGTGCATTCCTCTGTACGGGGCGCTCGTTGGCTCTCACCTGTTCCACAATTGTCGACATTTTTTTGGTGGCTGGGATATTTCACACCCGCTTGAAGGTTTCTATATCACTTTTGTCGTTGTGCAGAGCTCTTTTTGATGGAAATCCTGTGCGAGATTTCATTCATATTCAGCCACTGCACCGCATTTTGTTGCTGTGGTTCTTTCTTTCTACTCTTCGATTTTCAATGAACGCCAAAAATAATTCAATGTAATGTGGTAGTACGAATAATACGCGACTTGTCCGCGGCGGCGCCCGAGAAAGATTGAGGCAGCAAAATCCAGTGTCCTTCCCAGGACGTTTTTCCCACAGTAACGCTGACTGCGCCGCGCAAAGAATCTGCAAAAAGGTATGGACAACGAGGCAAAACGCTGAGAAACATTAGAAAGGCATGCTACGAAGCTCACCTCACCACGTCCTTCTTAACAAACCTTGGTTTTGTTGCTATTTTGTAAATAACAATTGAGAACTGCCAAACACTGCCGTTATAGATCATTTTTGAAAAAAATTATTTTACTGTCTGAAATTCATAGGATTTCTGATGCCGCATGAAGGGAAACGACAGTAAATGGCATTTCTACATGCATTTTGCATGGTGCGATAGTACAAGAAGGTGCGTCAATCAGCGCCAAAACGGGAACGACCTACAGCACTGTTTCCTAAATATTACCACTAACCTTTTAGTACTGAATGGTTAGCAAGACCCTCAGCCCGGAGCACATACATTTATTCGATTGATGAATTTATTTTCCACTTGAAGTACTATTTTTATTTGATTGTGTCTATAATAAGGTGTAAACAAAAAAGTTACCATGTACAAAAATATCAATTTTGTACATGGTACTTACACGGTAACTACATATTTGATACATACATATGAACTACGGCACATGTTGCTGGCTCAAACAAATTGAATGCTGCCTACGGGATAATATTACCGTTACAGATCTTTTTTGAAAAATAATGTTTTTATTGTCTCAAATTATCAGAATTATTATGCAGATCCTTAATTGGTATTCAATAGGGTGTCAAAAACGATATTAAGTGGCACTTCAACACGAATTTTACATGGTGTGTTAGTACAAAACGAGAACGACCTACAACACTGTTTCTTGCCTTTATTGAATATTATTGCAAGGTGTGTTAGAACAAGGAGGTTGTTTATCAGGCACGTGCAAGAAAACCAGAGTGAGCACACATCACACACATTTAATTGTAAATAATTAAGAATATCATAAAGAAACCCTTTACCTGCGCACCATGTTCCGCCTGCAACAAGCTCAGCCCGATCCCGCCGAGGAGCAGAAACGTGTGGCATCCGAGGTCCGCTTCAGTTTCATCATTTTCGGCACACTCTGCGCCGCCATCCGGCTGGGTAAAATTTTCTCCATAGAAAATTATGTAAAATGTGTGTAATCATTCCCGTTTTTCTCTTATCTGCAGCTCCTATTGTACTGAAACAGTTGAACACTGCCTAAATAGCAAATAAAACCAAATGGCACGACATCGAAGCAGCTTGCAGTCAAACAGATTATAAATTAAGTGTTAAAGCTACTCAATTATGATGGAATTGACTATGAAAGGCACTTTATTAATACACAATGCATTTATTTAAACGCACAGTGACCAAAAACAGCTAGTTTAATGTGTAATTAAAGCCTCATGACCCAGCAAATATACACATCTTGTTCCCAATGTTCACAAAATTAGTTTAGTCGTTTGTTTACGTCGTTTCGTACAGAAAAAGTAGCCGTGAAGAATCGTAATGGAACATAAAAAGTCAATTAGGTCCAGAACCTCTTGGGTTCTTCTGACAGTCGAAATGTTTGATCTTCACGCCACCCAGCCTGTAAGGGGGAGTGGGGTGGGCACCGTGGAGACGTTTTGGGCACGTTTAGTTTTGTTTTTTCACACAGAGATGTGGTCTGCAAGTATGGTCATGGTTTAATGGAGCTAAGTGTTTACGCGCCTAAGGTTTGAGCATTATCTATGTACAAGTCGTACATAGATAATGCTCAAACCTTAGGCGCGTAAACACTTAGCTCCAGCGATTATGCAGTCAACATGGAATCGTAAATCACTTGATAAAAGTGAAACGGCATAACGGGAAAAATATACAATTATACATAAAGCGAAGAAAAGTAGAAGAGGAAATGGATGAAGGAATGGCAACATGAATAATTCGTCAGTTCTGAGGTCCAGACGCACATAGTGCTATAGAAGGGGGTATGGACAACAGGCAAAAACAGCCAAGGCAAATTTCAAAGTTCGTACGAACCTCACCTCGCGAGTGAGAACAATATATGTACCTTGAAGACAAATTCGGCAAGGTATATCGGGCAAATGAGGTGAAATTCATTTTGCATGCGTGGCATTTTCTGGGGAGTTTTGCTTCTTGTCCATACCCTCTTTTTCCCCCCATTATGTAGCTAAGTGTAGCAAATGTGTAGTTACCGTGTAGTTATTTTCAGCCCCCACCGGGGGGGGCCTTATCGATAACTGAAACAGTTGGCAGCAAACAAAACAAACGGACGGGGCAAAAATGAAAACGTAAATTTATTTTATTGGCGAACAGAAGAAACCAATACAACCAAAAACCTGAGTCAAAGCCGCCTACGCAGATAACAGGCACTGGAACGTGTCGCGGGACGCGGGGAAATTGCACAAAACACAAACATATGGATGGATCCATAAACTTTCCAGATAACGAAGCGACGAAGAAGTAATGTGAGTATTTCTGTTTTTTGCTGTCTTTTAGCCTGGCTTTTCTTGTTAACTTCTTACGGTTGCGCGACAGCAGCAGCAGCAGCGAACCCCCCGATAATGGTGGCCGCAAAGTACGAGCGCCTCAATTCCCAGAGTGGAGGGGGCGGCGGCGGTTCCGGCGGTGTTGGCAGCAGCAGCTGTGCTGATGACGATGACTGCGAGGAAATTGAGCTCAATTTGGACAAGAAGACGACGTCAACGACAACGCTGCAGAATGGCAAAGATAGACGCCTGGCTAACTTCAAATACGTGAACAGCAGCAATAGCATTGGTAGCGGGCTTGGAGTCGGCGACGTAGCAGCCACGTCGGCACGGGAGAAGATCATGGCGCGGCAGGCGGATGCCCGCTTTATGCAGATGGCCATTGGCACCCTGGTCATTATTATGATCTACCTAACGCTCTCCATTTCGCTGACCTTCTACCAAACGGACATCAATCGCGAGATGCCATTCCCCCTAACGATTGTCACGTATCACCTAATCCTTAAATTCATTTTGGCTGCCCTCGTGCGTAGGATTTATAAGCTGCGCGTGGGTCGATCCCGTGTGCAGCTGGATTGGCGTGTGGCATTGAGAAAAATGGCACCCACTGGTGTCGCCAGTGCCATTGATATCGGTTTCTCCAACTGGGGATTGGCCCTGGTGCCCATATCTCTGTACACAATGACCAAATCATCTACCATAGTGTTTATACTGCTGTTTGCCATAGCTTTAGGATTGGAAAAGAAGGTACGTCCATCTACAATATGGGAAGTGGAGTAAATATGTTAATGCGCGTTTCGATCCGATCCGATCTCTTTCTTAGAGCTGGTCTCTGGTGTTTATTGTGGGCCTCATTGGCGCTGGCCTGGTGATGTTCACCTACAAGTCCACGCAGTTCAATGCCTTGGGCTTCTTCTTCATACTGTTTGCCTCGCTGAGCAGCGGCCTGCGCTGGAGTTTCGCACAGTTTATTATGCAAAAATCAAAACTCGGGCTGCACAATCCGATTGACATGATCTACTACATGCAGCCGTGGATGATTGCCTCGCTGCTGCCGCTTGTTTGTGGCATTGAAGGTGCGTATGGGTATATCTTAGCTTATAGCCACTGGAAACCATGCTAATCCCACTCTTATTTTCCCCTTGCAGGTGTAAAGCTTTACGATGTGGCGGAGAACCTAAAGAGGTATACGACGGATGAAATAACGTGGGCCATTGCCAGGATAACCTTCGGGGCACTGCTTGCGTTCCTCATGGAGTTCACCGAGTTCTTGGTGCTGTGCAAGACCTCCAGCCTGACGCTTTCGATAGCGGGTATATTCAAGGACATTTGCCAGCTGTTCCTGGCCGTCACCCTCAAAAAGGACCAGCTGAGTCCCATCAACTATGTGGGTCTGGTTGTCTGCCTTGCGGGCATTGCCTGCCATCTGTGGCACAAATACTCCACCATGGCCGATGCGGAGAAGCAGCAAAAGGACCTGCATCTGGACAACGACCGTGACGATTTGTCGGCAGAGTACAACTTCAATGAGGGAGGAGCTGGTGGCGGTGGCGGCGGCGGCGGTGCAGACAATTCCATTGCGGGCATCCATGTGAGATCCCACTCGACGTTGACGGTGCCATTGCTGGAGCAAACCGATTCCGAGGATGAGTCGGGCAATGATCTGAACAACAAGCAGAATTCCTCCGATGTCATATTCGATGTGCTCAAGCGACGCGATATGCAGCGATGAGGCGAGGCGAGGCGGCCCGGACCTGCGCGCCTGGACGTTGTGCTGTAAATGTTGTAAATTCAAAATGTTTCTGCGGAACCACTTAGGCCGAAGATTAGTAAGATAGTTAATCCCCAAATTCCACTCTCTGTCTCCCTCTTCTCTCAAACATTCTTGCATTTGAAATTAGGCTAGAACTTCCCCTTTGGGAGCAATATCAAATTGTAGTGTCCCCCCACGATCGATACTTGAAAATTATATATTTCCATTTTTGATGATACAAACTGGAGCTGCGTCTAGCGGGTATTCCTGCCCTGTAGATCCGATCCTCTACTTTGTTTTGTTCCTTGCTTTTAAGAATTCTCGCGGCATTCAGCTCCAGTTCTTTGCTCCAGCTCTACTATTTTGAATGCATTTAGTATTAGCATTTTTGAAATGGATAACAATGTCATTCCTTAATTCCCTCCCTCCTCTTAAATCCCCTCAAGACTCTATTCTCGATTGGATTGGATTTTGTTTTTTAGAAAATTGTTTGTCTAGTTAATAACAACTCTTTTATTGTTGATTTTTTTTTATGTGAGTGTGTGTGTGTAATATTTTTTTTGATAAGAGAATGATTCCCATTATACAATAAAAATACAATAAAGAGAAATGTTTGTGTATGCATTACGATATGGGAGTGTTCAATACAATTGAATGGGGATATCGCATGAGAAACAGCATGATTTTGAAGTATACCCATCCGCGTGGGGTATGTGTTTAAAGAATAGTGTGTGTTTCTGGTACTTCTATGAAATTATAAACCTATTTGCTTAGCAATCATCTTCAGTGCGCTTGAGCTTGTGAGTGTTTTGGTCTTCGGTAAACCCGATTACCGAATCAAAATATTGAAATTGGTCAGTCGGTAAGACGCTTCGCTTGCGGCTCATCTTGGCAGTCATAATCTATACGCTTGCGCTTGAAAGCACGTTCCAGTTCTTTTATGACCACTTCTCTATCTAATTTCTTCGCTTTTTCCTTGGAGTCTAATGCTAATTCATTCAGCTCTAAGGTTGTCTGTGTCTGCTGCTCTTCGTATTGTAAGTCAGTCTGTTCCTGCAGCTCTGCTAGAGAAAAGACAGCTGCTATCTGCAGCTCTTCCTGAGAAAAGACAGCTGGTTCCTGCGGCTCTTCTTGAACAACTCCAGCTAGATCGGACCCTGGAACAGCAGGTTTCTGCACCTGCACAGTAATTATATCCTGCTGCACGGTCACCGATTCCTTCACTATGACCATCGAATCCCCAACGCCAGAGTCCGTTGTGGAGCAATTGGGATTAATGGTATCTGCCGAAGATGGGCCCATGTTTACGTATGTTGGCAGGGCATTGGGCGCCACGGAGCTGTTCTGCTGCCAGTTATAGTACTTTGTGATCTCCCCCACCAATGGCTCAACCTCGTGTTCCGGATAAGATGTCAGTTTGGAGAGATACTGTGACCAGCACTTGAGTCCGCTTAGATGACGCACCGCTCCTATGCAGGCGGCGGCCAATAAAGAAGGTCGCGCGTTTGCAAAACTTGTAACTGAAAGAGAAAATAGTTTACTTGATTACGATTTTAATAGGAAAGTCACTCGATGCTTACTGCTCAATGTACAGTCTGCCAGGCGAAGCAGCAGCTGCGACAAGGCCGACATCATGACTGCAAAGCTTTCGTATTGCAATGGCGATTGATCGTTCTGCTCGCTACGATTATTCTTCAGCATGGCCTTGTAGTGGGCGAAGTCGTTGCGCGTAAGGAAGCTGCAAGCAAAAAACTCCACAAAGCTGGCCGTGGTGGGACGCATTAGCTCAAAATTCAGGCTGGCCAGCACCTTGCGCTCCACCACATTGTATTCGAAAACGGTGTACAACGAATCAGGTATCAGGCAGTTCAGTTCGCTGTAGCGCGGCACACTCGCATCGTTGTCTTCGATCTGGGCCGCAATGTGAAGACATGTGAGGGCCAGCAATGGCAGTTTTTCGCTACTAATCGTGTAGTAGTCGGTCATACAATCCATATAGTAGATACCTGGTTAAGTGGGATTGGGTTTGGGAATGTGAATGTGATCAATAGCAGCAGGATATTCGCACATATTTACCCAAATGCACTGAGGCGCGATTCAGTGTGTACTTTTGCGCTGCGAATTGAAAAAGCTGAAACAATTTGGGGCGCTCCTCCAGCTGCATGGAGTTGAATAATATGGGACGACGACGCATCTCTGCCTCCTTCA